GGTTGGGTGGTTGATTAAAAGCGCATGCTTATTAACTTGCCTACTTCCGAACAAGAGTCAGTAAATTTGGGTTCTGGTGTGATAACACCACCAGGTAAAAGATTATCCAATACTGGTGTATTCCGTAGATGTTTGATTTGTTTTAATATGTCATCTTGCGAGGCAACCATAGATAATAAAAATGATTTAGCTTGTGCAGGTAATACAGAATCCTCGTTAACAAATTTAACGTTTCCATTGCAATAGGATTCTAATTCTTGTGACGTTGCAGATGATCTTCGTCGTTTTTCTAAATATTCATTGTCGTTAATTATATTCGATGAATATTGATCGATAATCGTTGAACCATTTCCATTTAAATTGGATGTTATTTGTTTATAACGATACGTCTCGTCTTTATTGTAATCCTTGTAATCATATGTTTGCAATGAATCCGAATCAGATGTGTATTCTGTTTCATCGGTTGACAAATATCCATTATCGATTCGTAATTGACGATGAATTACTGATGATGGTGGTTGTTGTTGTTGTGGTTGTTGTTGTTGTGCTGGTGGTAGTTTGTTTATAATTTCCTGTTTTTCCCGTCTAGTCTCACGACTCGTTCGTCTGCTAGATTTTATATTTCATTTGGTTTGTTTTTGTTTTAATTTCGATTTATTTAATCATTTATCAAAGAAGATAATTATTTTTAAAAGTAAACTTTTAAATGGCTATAGCTTTTGATAAACAAAAATAACAAATAAAAATACTTTTATATTCGCGAATTGATTGATTGATTCTATCTTTCTTTTTTTTTTTTAAATTAAAATTAATATTTAAAAGAAAATAATATGGAATATAGAATATTATTAACACTATGCCGTCCGCATGTTTAATTTAGATTTTTTTTTCGTTTAACGTCGTTTGTTTATTAATTTTTTCATGGCACCAACGTGGAACCACCGGCATTTATCCGATAGTATTTTTGCATGGCACCAACGTGGAGCCATCGGACGTCACAGTGTTAAGATAATTTTGAAAATATAATAGTAATATAATTGAAAATATAATAGTAATTTAGAAAATATAATAATAATAATAATAATTTAACTCTCTGTATAAAATATTAAAATAATATGAATAAAAGAATAATCTAGAGTATAAAATGAATAGAATATTATCAAAATAATTTAAATAAAATAATAATAATAATATTTGACTGTATATAAAATCCTCATATAAATTTCTCACCGTATATATTTTTCTTCGATTTCATCATCATCATCATCATCTTCTTCTTCATCGTCATCGTCGTCATCTTCGTCATCGTCATCGTCTTCTTCTACATCATCTCGTGTTATTTGTTCATTATATTTAACATTAGTTCTAGTTTGAAAGAAACGAGCTATATCGGTGTCAATAGGACATTGTTTAACAATAGGAATAACTTTAGGACTTATTTGTTTGTATTGTAAAACCGGTCTACAAGTTTTTTCAAATTCTTGAATCAATTGTTTAACGGGAACAGGTGTATACTCGTTGTTTACAGCAGCAGCAGCAGCAGCATCATCATCATCATCATCATCATCACTGTCCGATAATCTTTCAATATTATCTCGTTCGTGTTTAATAACTTGCGATTTTTTATTCCACAATTTGTTTGTCCTATCGTTAATAAAATTATCTTGAGAAAAATTATTGCTAAAACGTTGTTTAATACTATCCCGATTGTTCTTGTTCTTGTTGCTTTTGCTGTTGCTTTTATTATTGTTGTTGTTGTTGTTATTATTATTAATAATAATTTTCATTTCTTTGTTATTAGTGTTAGAAATTTGCGTTGCGTTGTTAGAGTTAGTTTTGTTACCGAGCAGCTTGTTAAAACGCCTTTCAACGTTGTTAACAACATTTTTGTTGTTGTTGTTGTTATTGTTGTTGTTGATTGATTTAACACCGTTGCTTAAGAAACCATTGCCACGACGTACAACAACGTCTTGTTGTTTTTTATTAGATTCATAATATTTGTTTTCGATTGTTGGAAAATCGGTGTCCGTGCCGACTGCCACTTCTCGTAAATAAATTTTTTGGATTTGCGTTGAATGATTGCAATCGTTAGTTAATTGGCAGGAACGATGACGATGTTGTTGTTGTTGTTGTTGTTGTTGATGGTGGTGGTGGTGATAATGATGATTATTATTATTATTATGATGAGACCTGCCTAAAATTATTAAACGAATTCATTCGAAATATTACGATGACAAATGATATGAAATTTTTGTCAACCGATCTATAAAATATTATTTCGATTAATATTTAAATATATTACATTTAATATTAAATACAATCACAAAATCTCTTTAAATAAAATTATTTTCAATTAAATATATATATGTACGTGTAAGATGAGACAAATGAATTAAAAAAAACATAGAACACGAAAGGTGTTGTACCGATTGAAAATAAAAACAAAATTAT